AAATTCATGAGCAATGAATTTTTTAATTTGGTCTTGGAAAAAAAACTTATTTTTCTTACCAATGGAGTTTAAAACCTGTACTAATCAAGTTTGAACACGGGCCTCCCCGGTCGTGCAGCGGTTGAGCGCTGGGTTGCGAAGCTGCCCGCAGCCTCTGCAGCGCTGGTCGATCCCCGGCTGCTCCCTGGCCACCGGAGGAGGGTCCCACATGGCGCACAGACCTCTCCTGCCGCCTGCTGCTCCCCTCAGCAGTGTACTTCCGTCCTTCTGCCTGCTCTGCTCCCTGCTCTGGCTCTGGTGAATTCTCTCACCCTCCCGCGCCTCTCACCCTTCTGACTGTACCCAGTGCTTGAATGAATGAATGAATGAATGAATAAATAAATAAACAAATAAATGTTAAAAAAAAAAGACTGAACAAATATGACCATATCCTTATACAACTTATGTTTCTAACGCATTGTCATTACTGACCTAATAATGTATAATAGATATTCCACTGATATTTAGTCTTGTGACCACTAAGTACCATGTCTTTTTTATCTTTATTTATTTATTTACTTATTTATTTACTTTTTTTTCACTCAAATATATTTTATTTATTTTTTTCTTTGTTTGTTTTTAATTTTATTTTTATATTCCCCATACAATTGCAACCCCCTTTATTTTGACCCCAATCCCTCTTTCCCTCCCCCACCCCCTATAGTATGTCTCTGGTTCATAATTCTTTGTTGATTTAGATTTTTTTTTTAATTTTATTTTTATATTCCCCATATAATTGCAACCCCTTATTTTTACCCCAATCCCAGCTTTCCCCACCCTGCCCCCCCCATAGTGTCTGGTTCATAGTTGTTTATTGATTTTGATTTTTTCTTTCTTATAGTTATTCTTTTTTCTGGTCTCTTATTTAGGATTTCTAGATTCCTGCTATGAGTGAGACCATCCGGTATTTTTCTTTTTCTTTCTGGCTTATTTTGCTGAGCATGATCCCTTCCAGCTCCATCCATGTTGCTGGGAATTTCATGTGTTTTTATATTTTTTGATTGCTGAGCAATATTCCATTGTGTATATGTACCACATCTTCTTGATCCAGTCATCTATTTTTGGGTGTTTGGGTTGTTTCCAAAGCTTAGCTTTTGTAAATAGTGGGTACTATAAACATAGGGGTACATATGCTCTTTGGAATTGATGTTTCTGTGTCTGTTGGGTAAATAACTAGGAGTAGAATTACTGGATCATTGGAAGCTCTCTCTTTAGTAGGCTGAGGAATATCCACACAGCGTTCCATAATGGTTGGACCAGTTTATACTCCCACCAGTAGTACAGGAGAGTTCCTTTTTATCCACATCCTTGCCAACATTTTTTGTTGCTAGTTTTTTTAATATGTGCCATTCTCACTGGTGTGAGATGGTATCTCATTGTAGTTTTGATTTGCATTTCTCTGATTGCAAGTGATGTTGAACAATTTTTCATATGCCATTTGTATTTAGTCTTCGGAGAAGTTAATTTTTAGCTCTTCTGCCCATTTTTTGACTGGATTATTTTCTTTGTTTTGTTGAATCTCATCAGCTCTTTGTAGATTTTTGTGATCAGTCCTTTATTATTAGTGTTGTGTACAAAAATATTCTCCCAGTTGGTGGGGTTTCTCTTTGTTTTGGTTATTGTCTCTTTTGCTGTGCAGAAGCTCTTTAGTTTGATGTAGTCCCAGCTGTTGATCTTTGCCTTCACTATCACTGCTTTGGGTGATATGTCTGTAAAGATGTCTTTGAGGTGCATGTCATGTAGTGTTTCGCCTGTATTTCCTTCTATATATTTTATGGTTTCCGGTTTTATGTCTATTTCTTTAATCCATTTTGAATTGGTTTTTGTGCATGGTGTGAGGTAGTAGTCAAATTTCATTCTTTTGCATGTAGCGACCCAATTTTCCCAGCACCATTTATTGAACAAACTTTCTTTGCTCCAGTGCATATTCTTTGCTCCTTTATCAAAGATTATTTGACCATAAATTGTGTGTTTATTTCTGGGTTTTCTATTCAGTTCCATTGGTCTCTAAGTACCATTTCTTATTAAGGTTTGCATATGTGGTTTGTGCTGTGGGTCTGTTTAGTGAAGTCCCTGACTCTAGTCCTCCACTGGATGCATACCTCTTACTCTCTCTCTCTAGTCTCCTTACCTTGATCTGCATACATCATTCTTTTTTTTTCCCACAATACAGATTCAAAAGCCCATTGAAAAAGCAGCTGTGCTGGGAGAAAGCAACTGGCAGATCAGGGAAGTCATTCTTTTTTTAAGCCTTACCCCTAAATTCTCTGCACTTGGCTCTTCCAATTTCTTATAGTGAGCAAGTTTCACCATAGTGATACAGAGGGGAGAATCTTTTTCCCAATTTTAAATATCTTGAGAATCTATGACCCCTTTATTCTTGGAATCAAGTGACAAGTAAGCCTGTTAATTTTGTGCCCAGAATGGGGGATAGGGGGGCAGAAGGGAGTATTATATGAAGTAATGATTTTGGGAGATTAGTTTTGCTAAAATTGTTCTTGATGCAGCTGGTGTGTGAGAGCATTCAATGAACTCACATCTCATTTTGAATCCTGGTTTAATCATTTTGAGCTGTGTGATAGGACACTGCACAGACATCCTGTTTACCCAGAGACACCATTCTCCCCTTTCAAATATCTCTTTTATAGTGTTTTCAGAGTTTTGGCAGTGAGAAAGGATAACATGGTAAAAGACATGGAAATCTATTTAGCTAATTATTTTATTTTACTTTCAAATTTTTTATTGAGATCACTTTAGTTTACATTGTTCTAGTATTTTGAAAATATGGGCTCCCCCACGTAGAGCTGTCACCACAGTGCTCGCACCACCAAAGTACTCATCCTCCACCACAATAAATCATTGTGCTCCCTCCCGCTGTGTCCTCACCACTTCCCCATCCCCTCAATCCTAGAATGCCTCAGTTCTCTAGGGAGCTTTCAAGGGTTAGTTCTTAAGTTTGAATCTTTAACCAAAGCTTTGGTTGGTTTCTCTGTATTCCACTTGTAAGTGACACCATCTGGTATTTATCTTTCTCCCTCTGACTTAATTTACTTTAGTAGTTGTGTGCTTGGTCATTGAAGTTTAAGTTAACTATTTTCTATATAGGCAGCTGTAATAGAAATACAGTATTTCAAAATATTTAAGGACCCTTCAATTTCCACAGGAAAATAGCCTATGTTAATATAGCTTGAACTTAGTTATTTTCAATATAAAGTTGTAGAACACCAGATTCTCCTCAAATTAAAATATTCCCAGTTGGTGATTGCCTTGAGTCCAGAGATTTGAGTCATTTTGGTATCAAGTTATTTTCAACAGTGGTTTTGAATCCTGGCTGCACATTGGAACTGGTTTTTCTTTCTTTCTTTTTAAAGTTATCAATACAGTCCTTAGTCCAATATAGTTGAACTAAAGGTCCAGAGTGATGACTGGAGAGAAAGAAAACAAGACGAAAGAATTTTTTTTTTTTTATCTTTATCAGTGGACCAAAGGCCACTTAGGGAAAATATGAGTAGATGTAGCTGATTGGCCTCCTTGTATTGCAAAGCAGCGTAAGTTGAAATAACAAGGGGTGTTGTTATAAAAGCTTTAGAATTCACCCTCAGTTTTCTGATAAGAAGAGAAAGCTACAATGGACCTGAGTGTGGCCCTAGTGCTCTGTCTCTCGTGTTTGCTCCTCCTTGCTCTCTGGAAACAGACTTCTGAGAGAGGGAAGCTCCCACCCGGCCCCTTGCCCCTTCCCATTATTGGAAATATCCTCCAGTTAGATGTTAAGGATATCAGCAAATCTCTAAGCAACGTGAGTATGTTTTATGTTCCTCTGTGGCGTGCAAATGGTAAGTAACTTAAATGCAATTAAAAAAAACTTCTTGTTTGCCCATCAATTCTAATAATAAAATATTAGCATGGTGGCATGCTATCCAAGTAGGTTTTGAAATTCAAATGCTCCCAGTCATTTTGCTATTTCTCTGCATTTAGTGAGTAGACAAACAGGTCTTTGATGGTAGAATTGAAAATATAAAGTGACAGAAGGGAGGAGTGTTCTTTGTTCTCCTGCCATTTGCTCTGATTTTGGTCTATGGTGAATGTTAGAAGAAGTGTTTTGTGATTACAGATGTTATTCCAGAAGTCATCTACTACATGGCTGTGTGTTTTGTTGAGATTGTTACTAAATTTAACATCTGTGAAGAAACACATTCTGCCTGTATCAAGAGAGGACTCTGGGCTCAGGAAGAGCAGGAGTCTACCAAAAGACAAAAAGAAGTAACCAGGCAGGACCAAAGTGTGGGAACATCATTCACTTGGGTCTACACAGCTGGTGTCTGATCTTAATGACTATTTCAGGGTGGAAAAAATTATCCTTCCTTCAGATGCCTTGGCCCTGACAATGCCTCTGTAGTGCCCACTCCTTGTTACTAATACCAGCAGATCACAAGCTGGGTTGGGTATTAGAATTAGATGAATTGATTCTTTAAAATACAAATTTTTAGGATTCATCATAGGGCTACTGTATCACAGCTTCCTCAGGAGGACTCTGTAGTTGATCCTGAAGCAACGAGCTCAGTTTAGTCTATAGATGGAATCTGAAGTTATTTGTCAAGGATCAGAGAACCATGAAGAATCTCAAATTTGAATCTTCTGTATAGCGGTCAACTGATCCTAGAAATACATTGAAATTGTCTGATCTTAGTTTCCTTATTTGTAAGCAGGGCAAATAAACTTGGTGAAGGTTCAAATGTGAGGGTAATAGTAAACAATGTGTCAAATACTTATTTAGGCCATTCCTGGCACATCCCAAGCCATCCAGAAATGGCAACTCTAATAATCACCCATATTGATGTCTTAAATTCAAAAATACTCGGGCTTTGTGGGGCAATCTACCCAATATGAAAGTAGTATTCCAAATTAGGCACAATACATTACCAAGTAATGACTTCTTTTGCTATATGCACGTGCTTTCCCAGCTCTCCAAAGCCTATGGCCCTGTGTTCACTCTGTATCTGGGCATGAAGCCCAGTGTGGTGTTGCACGGATATGAAGCAGTGAAGGAAGCGTTGATTGATATGGGAGAGGACTTCGCTGGAAGAGGCAATTTCCCCCTTGCAGAAAGAATTAATAAAGGAGAAGGTATGTGTGGGTGTGACATGTGCACTATGATTATTGTGGTGGGGAGGACAGAAAATGGGGCTTGAAGATCTCCTAAATATTCTTTGTCCATCCCCTTAACTGTCAAGTGTCAGCTTTCTTCTTCCCTCAGACCCCACCCCAGTTTATATTTACCCTCTGTTAGGAGTTGTTTTCAGCAATGGAAAGAAATGGAAGGAGATTCGCAGCTTCTGCCTCATGACTCTGCGGCATTTTGGGATGGGGAAGAGGAGCATTGAGGACCGAGTTCAAGAGGAAGCCCGCTGCCTCGTGGAGGAGTTGAGAAAAACCAATGGTGGGTGATTTTCTGCTCAGTCGCTGTGACCTTAACACACTGTATTCTCTAGTGTCATCCTAGGGGACACATCAGGGTGGCCCAAATCTTCCTTTAGGGGTGGTGGTTGTTAACCCTTGTGTGGAGACAGAGAGTTTGAAGCACAGAGTCAGGAGCATTTGTGTATGTATGCTGTGTGTGCATGTGCGTGAGTGTGTGTATGTGTTCATTCATGATTGTGTGTACAGTGTAGGTATCAAAGGTCCTTTCATCTGTTTCTCTCCTGAAGTCTATTTGTTTTTAAATGAGAAATCACAAGGAATATTTTGAGTCATTTTCTGAATGTGTGAGAGAGCGGTGTTTCATACTGCAGCACATTTCACCAGGGCTGCCAGCCAAGTATGTAGTGGGAGTGACCTCGGGAAGCAAGTGACATGTGTTTTCACTTCACTGGATGTGTTTATATGGACAGAACTCACACCCATATGACAGTCACTGCCGCAGACCAGGTCTGTAGTTTTGGCCAGTAATAATGCCGTCTGTTGATAGATTTTAATCAGGTAGGCATGTCCTTTTGCTAATCTCAGCAATTATGTTTTCTCATTTCATTTCATTAGGAAATACTTTCTCACTTTTCAAATTTCCTTATGCAGGTAATTGCTACTATCTCTCTAAGGGATCACTTTCTGATATTTCTTTCAGACCTGTTCTGAGAGATGTTTCCTGGATTCTTGTGTTGTTTTGTTTAATTTTGTGGGGATCCAACATTTAAGTAAATGTATAATTTCCCTGTCTTTATGGATTGCCTTATTGTAAGGGAAAGTCCTACCAAGTATTCCTAGTTAGATTTTCCAGGAGAGCCTGAATTTTCTTTATTTATACATGAAGTTTCTGTGTGACACTGTGTATACCTTCAAAGTTAGTGAGGCTATGGGTTTCGTTGTAATGGGTGCTTGAAATTTGTGTTCCCCTGTAGTACTGCAACTCCTTATCTGGCTTCACAAAATGTGCTAGATTTTCAGACTCTCTATCATTGCTAAATCAGTGTTTTTATGCGAGAATAATGGCTGGCACTTTCTATTCTGCCAATTTCTTGATGTCACTGTTATGCAATACATTGATTCAAATCTTTCGTAATGACATCTACAGGGGTTAATTTTAGACCTTTACCTTAGACAATCTTTCAGTGGTGATTAAGTTGCCACAATGGGGTTTGCAGATCTCTTACCAAGGAAATAAACCCGTTTTCCCTGTATAATTTCTTTACTGAGTGTCGAATTGACCTAACCTAGATCTGGAAAAATTTTAAAAATCAATGAAAATACTACTGTTTTTCTTCTTACTGAACATAATCTTACAAGTTTATGTAGCATAACTTTCCCAAATAAATAATTGTTTGCTGGTGAGTAGAAATGATGGATATTTGATTTCTAGGGATGGTAGTTTATTTCCAGTGATGTGAAATAATGAAAACTAACAATTTTCATTTTAGTTTGAGTTTCCTGGGAATTATATTGGAAATGCAAATTTCTCTTTTGATTTCTGCTTTAAACAAAGTGTCCTAAAATTTCTTTCTTAATTTTTTAAAGTTTTATTTATTTGTTTTAAATAATAAATTTTAATTTTATATTCCCCAAACAATTGCAACCCCCCCAATTTGACCCCAATCCCTCCCCTCCCACCCCCCTCCCCCAAAAGTGTCTCTGGTTCATAGTTTTTGTTGATTTTGATTTTCACTTTCTTATTAGTTATTCATTTTCCTGGTCCCTTATTAAGGTTTCTAGATTCTGCTATGAGTGAGACCATCCGGTATTTTTCTTTTCCTTTCTGCTTATTTCGCTGAGCATGATCCCTTCCAGCGCCATCCATGTTGCTGCAAATTGCATGTGTTTTTGTTTTTTGAAGCTGAGTAAATATTCCATGGTATATATGTACCACATCTTCTTGATCCAGTCATCTATTTTTTGGCATTTGGGCTGTTTCAAAGCTTAGCTATTGTAAACAGTGCTGCTATAAACATAGGGGTGCAGGTGTTCTTTGGAATTGATGTTTCTGTGTCCTTTGGGTAAATACCTAGGAGTGGAATTGCTGGATCATATGGAAGCTCTATGTTTAGTAGGTCCAGAAATCTCCACACAGCTCTCCATAGTGGTTGGACCAGTTTGCACTCCCACCAGTAGTGCAGGAGTGTTCCTTTTTCTCCACACCCTCGCCAACATTTGTTGTTGCTAGTTTTTTTAATATGTGCCATACTCACTGGTATAAGATGGTATCTCATTGTAGTTTTGATTTGCATTTCCCTGATTATAAGTTATGTTGAACATTTTTTCATATGCCTGTTGGCCATTTGCAATTTCTTCTTCAGAGAAGTTTCTTTTTAGCTCTTCTGCCCATTTTTTGACTGGATTATTTTCTTTGTTGTTGTTGAGTCTCATCAGCTCTTTGCAGATTTTTGTGATCAGTCCTTATCATTAGTGTTGTGTGCAAAATGTGTCTCCAGTCAGTGGGGTTTCTCTTTGTTTTGGTTATTGTCTCTTTTGCTGTGCAGAAGCTCTTTAATTTGATGTAGTCCCAGCTGTTGATCTTTGCCTTCACTGTCACTGCTTGGGGTGATGTGTCTGTAAAGATGTCTTTGATGCATATCACATAGTGTTTCGCCTATATTTCCTTCTATGTATTTTATGGTTTCAGGTCTTATGTCTAGTTCTTTAATCCATTTTGTTTTTTTTTTTTTTGTTTTTTGTTTTTTTTTAATATTAAATTTTATTTTTATATTCCCCCATACATTGCAAACGCCCATTCTGACACCAATCCTTCCCCTCCCGCCCCCCACCCCCCAAAAAGTGTCTCTGGTTCATAGTTTTTTTGTTGATTTTGATTTTCGCTTTCTTATATTCATTTTCCTGGTCCCTTATTAAGTTTTCTAGATTCCTGCTATGAGTGAGACCATCCGGTATTTTTTCTTTTCTTCTGGCTTATTTCGCTGAGCATGATCCCTTCCAGCGCCATCCATGTTGCTGCAAATTGCATGTGTTTATCTTTTTTGAATGCTGAGTAATATTCCATGGTATATATGTACCACATCTTCTTGATCCAGTCATCTATTTTTGGGCATTTGGGTTGTTTCCAAAGCTTAGCTATTGTAAACAGTGCTGCTATAAACATAGGAGTGCAGGTGCTCTTTGGAATTGATGTTTCTGTGTCCTTTGGGTAAATACCTAGGAGTGGAATTTGCTGGATCATATGGAAGCTCTATGTTTAGTAGGTCCAGAAATCTCCACACAGCTCTCCATAGTGGTTGGACCAGTTTGCACTCCCACCAACAGTGCACAAGAGTTCCTTTTTCTCCACATCCTCGCCACATTTGTTGTTGCTAGTTTTTTTAATATGTGCCATTCTCACTGGTGTGAGATGGTATCTCATGGTAGTTTTGATTTGCATTTCCCTGATGACAAGTGATGTTGAACATTTTTTCATATGTCTGTTGGCCATTTGCATTCCTCTTCAGAAAGTTTCTTTTTAGCTCTTCTGCCCATTTTTTGACTGGATTATTTTCTTTGTTGTTGCTGAGTCTCATCAGCTCTTTGCAGATTTTTGTGATCAGTCCTTTATCATTAGTGTTGGGTGCAAAAATGTTCTCCCAGTTGGTGGGGTTACTCTTTGTTTTTGTTATTGTCTCTTTTGCTGTGCAGAAGCTCTTTAAGTTGATGTAGTCCCAGCTGTTTATCTTTCTCTTCACTATCACTGCTTTGGGTGATGTGTCTGTAAAGATGTCTTTGATGTGCAAATCCCGTAGTGTTTCGCCTATATTTCCTTCTATGTATTTTATGGTTTCAGGTCTTATGTCTAGTTCTTTAATCCATTTTGAGTTGATTTTTGTGTATGGTGTGAGGTAGTGGTCAAGCTTCATTCTTTTGCATGTAGCGACCCAGTTTTCCCAGCACCATTTATTGAACAAACTTTCTTTGCTCCAATGCATAGTCTTCGCTCCTTTGTCAAAGATTAGTTGACCATAAATCTGTGGGTTTATTTCTGGATTTTCTATTCGATTCCATTGGTCTGTATGTCTGTTCTTGTTCCAATACCATGCAGTTGATGATTATGGCTTTGTAGTATAGTTTGAAGTCTGGGAGTGTGATGCCTCCATTTCCTTCTTTTTTTCAGTAGAGCTTTGGCTATTCGGGGTTTTTGGTGATTCCATATGAATTTTCATCAATAATTGTTCTATTTCTTTGAAGAATGCCATTGAGATTTTGATTGGAATAGCATTGAATCTGTATATTGCTTTTGGTAGGATGGCCATTTTAATAATGTTTATTCTTCCAATCCATGAGCAGGGGATGTCTTTCCATTTCTTTGTGTCTTCTTCTATTCTTTTAACAGTGTTTTATAGTTTTCTTTGTATAGGTCCTTTACCTCTTTTGTTAGATTTATTCCCAAATATTTGATTTTTTTGTTTCGATAATAAAAGGGGTGGTTTTTTTGATTTCTTCTTCTTCAGATTTATTGTTTGTGTATAGGAAAGGCTACTGACTTTTGCGTGTTGATTTTGTATCCTGCCACTTTACTGAATTGATTGATGAGTTGAATTAGTTTTTCTGTGGAGATTTTGGGGTTCTCTATGTATATTATCAATCATCTGCAAATAGTGATAGTTTGACTTCTTCTTTTCCTATTTGGATTCCTTGGATGTCTTTCTCTTGTCTTATTGCTCTGGCTAGGACTTCCAGTATTATATTGAAAAGCAGTGGTGAGAGTGGACATCCTTGTCTTGTTCCAGATCTTAATGGAATTGCTTTCAGCTTTTCACCATTGAGAATGATACTGGCTGTTGGCTTGTCATAGATGGCCTTTATGATGTTGAGGTATGTTCCTTGTATCCCAAGAATTTCAAGGGCTTTTATCATGAATGGGTGTTGCACTTTGTCGAAAGCTTTCTCAGCATCTATTGATATTATCATATGGTTTTTATATTTCTTTTTGTTGATGTGTTGGATAACGTTGATTGATTTTCGGATGTT